CGGACGGCGCCCCCTTGTAATTTTTGGGGGTGTTAATTACGCCACTAGTTTTGACTTTATATCTATTATTATCACAAAACGAAAATCGCAAAATCAAATTTTATAATCTGTTAAACAAGCGATATTTGTCAGACTATACTTCAAATGCGGGGGAAATTCTGTCGAAATAACCTTGGGCCAGTGTTTTGATTTTATAGTGTAACTGCTTTTTAATTTTACAAGTTTTCTATTTCTCTACTTCTGATTTTTCGAATTCTCGAATTTTAATTTTTTATTTTTTCGATTTTTAGTTTTTAATTGCCCGATTTTTTATTTTTCAGAATTTCGTTTCTTCATTCGTTCGAGTTTCCAATTTGTCAGTTTTTCCATTGTTCAATTTTACAAATTTTTTTGCAATTGATTGATCCGATTTTCCAGTTTTTCATTGAAGTGCAGTTTTACAATTTTTAGATTTTTCACCTATTACTATTTTTGAATTTTCATTTCTTTTAGTTTTTAAGTTGAATTTTCCAATTTTTCGGATATTTAAATTTTTTAAATCTTCCATATTTCAATTTTTTGATTTTAGAATTTTTCGATTTTTAACGGAAGGATTTTTAAAATTTACAATTTCTATACTTCTGATTTATCAATTTCTCGACTTTTAATTTTTTAATTTTTCGATTTTTAGTTTGTCAATTGCTCCATTTTTAATTTTTTTATTAATTTTTCAATTTTTAATATTTAGAATTTTAAGTTCTTCGTTTTTTCAAATTTTCGATTTTTTCATTTCTGAGTTTTTCGATTTCTCAATTATCCAAATTTTCAATTTTTCTGTTCTTCAAATTTTTGAAGTGAATTTTACAAATTTTCGATTTTATTTTTTTTGATATTATACATTTTCGTTGTTTTAATTATAGTTTTCGATTTTCCAATTTCCAAATTTTTCGATTTCTAAACTTCTGAATTTTTCAGTTTTTCCATTTTCTAATTTTCATTTCTTTTGGTTTTTGAAGTGTAATTTTCCAATTCCATAATTTTTTGGGTTTTCGAATTTTTGCAAATTTCGATTTTCTATTCTTTTGATATTATCACGATTTATACATTTTCGTTGTTTTAATTAGTTTTTCAATTTCTCGACTTTTCATTTTCGATTTCTTCATTTCCAAATTTTGCGATTTGTAAACTTAAGAATTTTTTAGTTTTTCAATTTTTCAATTTTTATTATTACTTTTAGTTTTTTAAAATGCAATTATAGAATTTTACTATTTTTCGTGATTTCGAATTGTTGCAAATTTGGATTTTTCAATTTTGATTTTACAATTTTTGAATTCCTGTGCTTTTCATTTTTCAATTTCTCGACTTTCAATTTCTTAATTTCTCGATTTTTAGTTTTCCATTGCTCGATTTTTAATTTTTTCAATTATAAATTTTTCAGTTTTTTAAGTTTTCAATTTTTAATTCTTTTAGTTTTTAAAGTGCAGTTTTCCATTTTTACAATTTTTGGGGTTTTCGAATTTTTGCAAATTTCGATTTTTCAATTTTTTGATTTTCACCTTTTCGATTTAATTGAATAATTTTTCGGTTTTTGAATTTCTCTATTAAATTTTTCAATTTCTGAACTTTTGATTTTCAATTTCTCGTTTTTAGGTTTTCCATTTCTCAATTTTTAATTTTACGATTTTTCGGGATTTCGAATTGTTGCAAATTTAAATTTTTCAAATTTTGATTTTACAATTTTTCGATTTTTTCATTGTTCAACTTTAAAATTTTTCGATTTCTCTACTTCTTATTTTTCAATTTCTCGATTTTTAGTTTTACATCGCTCAGTTTTCAATTTTTTTCAAATATTCATTTTGTTCATCTCAATCTTTGGATTGTTGAATTTTAGAATTTGACAATTTTTCGATTTTTTTTTGAAGTGCAAGTTTACAAGTTTCCAATTTCTCAATTTCCCAGTTTGTCGATTTTTAAACTTTTCAATTTTACAATTTTTTGACTTCAATTTTTATTTCCTTTGATTTTTAAAGTACAATTTTCCAATTTTACACTTTTGCAAGTTTTCAAATTTTTGGAAATTTCGATTTTTCAATTTTTTTATTTTACACCTTTTCGATTTAATTGTATAAATTTTTGGGTTTTCAATTTCTCTATTTAATTTTTCAATTTCCCGAATTTTAATTTTTCATTTCTTCGTTTTTACGTTTTCGATTTCTCAATTTCCCAATCTTTCGATTTTTAAACTTGACAATTTTTTAGTTTTTCGCTTTTTCGATTTTCATTACTTTTAGTTTATAGCAATTTTAGAATTTTACTATTTTTCGGGATTTCGAATTGTTGCAAATTTCGAATTTTCCAATTTTTTGTTTTACAATTTTTCGGTTTTTGGATCGACCAATTTTCCAATTTTTCAGTTTCTCTAATCTTCATTTTCTAATTTCTCGAGTTTAATTTTTTTCAATTATGGGTTTTTCATTTTTTAATATTTTGACTTTTCAGTTTTTCATTTATAACATTTTCGAATTTTTAATTTCTCAATTTTTCGATTGTTGAATTTTAAAATTTGACACTTTTGCAATTTCTCAATTATCCGATTTTTCGAATTTAAAAATTTTTTCTTTTTTAGTTTTTTAAGTGCAATTTTTCAGTTGTACAATTTTTGAAGTTTTCGAATTTTTGCAAATTTCGATTTTTCACATTTTGGATTTAATTGTATCATTTTTCAATTTTTCGGTTTTAAGTCTTCGATTTCTCAATTTTTCAAATTTTACAATTTTTCGATTTTTAATGGTCCAATTTTACAATTTTGGATTCCTCTGCTTCTTAATTTTCAATTTCTCGACTGGAATTGTTGCAAATTTCGATTTTTCAATTTTTTGATTTTACATCTTTCGATTTAAATGTATGATTTTTCAGTTTTTCAATTTGTCTATTTAAAACTTTGAATTTCTCGACTTTTAATTTGTCAATTTTTCGTTTTTAGGTCTTCGATTTCTCAATTTTTCAAATTTTACGATTTTTCGATTTTTGATGGTCCAATTTTTCAAATTTTCGATTCCTCTGCTTCTCAATTTTCAATTTCTCAACTTTTAATTTTTCAATTTGTCGATTTTTAATTTTCCATTGCTCGATTTTAGATTTTTTTTAAAAAACGAATTTTTCATTTTTCAATTTCTCAATTTTTTGATTGTTCATGTTTAGAATTCGACAATTTTTTGATTTCTCAATTATCCGATTTCCCAATTTTCCTTTCCTTCAAGTTTTTCACGTGCAATTTTACGAGTTTTCGATTTCTCAATTTCCCATTTTTTGAATTTTTCAGTTTTTCGAGTTTTCAGTTTTTATTTCTTTTGGTTTTTAATGTACAATTTTCCAAGTTTACAATTTTTCGGATTTTCGAATTTTTGCAAATTTCGATTTTTAAATGTTTTGATTTCTCAATTATCGGATTTTTGATTTTTTTCTTTCTTCAAATTCTAAAAAAATATATAGCATCATTAAAAAAAGTTCAATAAGTTCGCCAAATCAGTTTTCAGTATTTCGACTTTTTCAGTTTTTCGTGTTTTCAGATTTTTCGATTATTCCATATTTCGATTTTTCAGTTCTTCAAGTTTTTGAAGTGCAATTTTTCGATTTTATAATATCTAGAGTTTTGAGTCAAGTTTTTTTATTCTTCAATTTTTGAAGTTTTCAATTTTATTATATTTAACTTTTTTCAATTTTGAATTTTTTTATGTTCTCTATTTATTTTTCAGTTTAGCATTAGAATTCTAAAAAAATATATAGCGTCATTAAAAAAAAAGTTGAAATAGCGGTATTTGTTGAACTATTCCTAATGTTGGGAATGAACAAACACACTCCTGGGCCTATAGTTCCAGAAATTACACGAAATCAACACAGAAAACAAAACAGAACGTTTAGAACGATTTTTGTTAGCAAAATTACTAAAAATCCCGCTAATTTAAATTGTATAAAAGACGTCAAAGCCGCGTCCTCTGCTTAATTAATAACCGCCACTTACCTCCCACTTAACAAGTCCATAATTCGCCGGCAGCTTTCCTCATTTTCCTCGTTTTAAAGCCGCCCCCGACGTCTCCGCTAATTAATTAAACCGTCCCGTTGGCGGCTGCGGGCCCCCTCGTTGCGGCTTATGACACCCCGCTAAAACAACCAGAGGCATTTCGAGCAACAGGTCGCCGTTAATTAATAGCAAGCATCCCCTTAATTACCCCTTTCGCTGGTCCATTATGCAAACTGGGGCCGACCCTCGCGAGAAGCTCTGCTAAATATATAATTACTTAGCTTCTAATTGACGTTTATTACGAAAAGGGGTGTTAATGAAAGATTTAAAACATCGAGGAGATAATCACAGCCCTGTTGGCTTTTTATGCGCTCGGGGGTGTTTTCTTGGAGAATTTTAAAGCGACGTTTAACTCGACTCTGATTAATTGAAAGGGGTTGGACGGCGTGTCAACAAGGGTTTAATTACAGACTTCGGATTGACTTGTCGGAATTATGAATGACAAGGGCTTTTTGGACTTCTTGTTTTAGAGATACGACACTATCTGATTGATTTTTATTTTATATAAAAAAAAATCAGAAAATTTTCTAGGCCGAGAATTCGACTTGTCCGAATATTTTTTTGTTGGGTGGAAAGGGCGCTTAATTATTCATCGCTCATAATATCAGTTTCTAATTATCCCCCATTGTGGTAATAGGAGTTGATTGTACTCGCTAGTTGTTAAGTGGCACTTTTATATCTGAAGTTCTTTACAAACATTGCCTATTGATAAAATTATTTATTCATTAATTTATTGGCTCATTCATCAATTACACTTTCAACAACCGTTAAAATGGTAATTAATTTATTTCGAGCCATTGTCTAATCGACTTCATTTGAATAAAGTACTGGTGTTTATCTGAAAGGAAATTGTCAGCGCTAATTATCAAATTATAATAAATAATAAATTAGGAGCGTTAAGAGCGATGAGTTTAATTTTTAATTCGGTTCTTTGTTCCAGGTAGGAGAAAATGTCTATTGAACTTGCCACCACGTCGACCTGTCATTCAGAGGAGAATTTATACGTATGTTACTCTATAAGGTATTCAACTTATCAATCGACCTAATTTTCTAATATTGATGCATGTGTGTACACTGTAAGACGTAGAATTAACTAGAAACTACAAAAGGATAAGTCGCCTTGTATGAATAGCATTACATTAATTAAGGATCTCACTTCACGAAAATATCGTTCCACTATGCTGTGCTCGACCGTCATGTGACAACGCAGAATTTACAACCGACACTTGAGCAAAATTTTGCCGAAGATTTTTTTTGAGCTTTCCAGCTTTTATTTTTCAATTAAAGATAAATTTCAACAGACAATATAAATAAAATTGTTGATTTAAAAAGTTTGGGAGATGTAAATAGTTTCATAGTTCAGTATTTTGTAGCTGTGTCCTTGAAGTGGAAACGTTATCTACAAGGTCGGCTTATCAATATTTAACCAGATTGTGAAGTAATGCTCAACCTATATCTAAATACCAACAAAGGTGGTCGATAAACCATAAATCCATAAATCTTGTCGTTTATTTTTTAAACTAAAGTGATATTTGGCAGTTTTATTACACGTAAAAATTTTAACTCAATCAAAATTAACATCAAGCTATAATTATCATTTTTTTACTAACATTCTATAATAATCGTAGATCCTGAAGCCAATCAATTATGAAGAAGCAAAAACACAGAAATTTATTGCTACGATTTTTATTTTATATTTTTTTTTATTTTCGCAATCCCATCCGTAAAAACGCTATTAAAATTTTAATTGGACACATGTTTGCATACTACTAGGACTAAACACCCCTATTATTTCCAAGATTATTTCTTTTCAATCCTAAACAATTACCACGTATCAAGTGAAAACGCGTTCGAATGTTTTTGACTACTTACAAACCCACATATGATGAGGATTTGGTGTTGTTATTCTTGATGTTTTAATGACCATCAGCAAACTACCTTAACTATTACTTCAAAAAGACAATTTTATCCAGCTGTCTCTTTTTTCGCTTCGGAGTACCACATTAATTTAAAACATAAAGTATTTAAAATTCGCTCTTTGTTTAGATAAATATGCACCTGCAGACAAACTAACACAAATGGAGGCAATTACGAAATTTTTATAAAACGAAGAAAAAAGATAAGGGTTGAAGTGATGAATATTCATCCAGGCAAAAGTCGGGGCGAAGTATACAGGCATGGAAAAAATGCTCGACAATGTATGAGTCGTGTTGCTAAATTGGCTGAAGAAGCATTGTAATGGAGTCCATTGGACGACTCGCCACTTTTATGTTTTCTCGACGTTTCATGACACCTAGAGCGCGAAAAAGTAGGTCCCCGTTTTCGTCCGTCTTCTGTCTGTATTTATATGTATTAGACAGTTAATCTCAGAAACTATCAAATTTTGTACGTCTGTTAGAAATGTCATGTAGATGGTGAAACGCTATCCAAAATTTATCTGACGAATGATTTTACATTAGCAAATATTATTTCAGTTTTATAAAATAAGATAATCCTTTACAAGTGGTTTATGAATCAGTGTTCAGTTTTTATCCTTGACCTCTAGATTTAAACATTTTAAAGTTATCGTACACATGGTAAATCGTGTATCAAAATTTATTCGTTTATCCCCTCCCAAAAATTGATGGCGTCATCTCAAAGTTTTGCCGAATAAATTTTCTCTGAAATATGTAAAATATTATGACTCTGTAAATGGAACTTTATTTTAACTTATAAGAGTTATCATTGAAAAGGTAATATTTCCAAAATCAAATCTTATAATTTTTCGAACAATCTGGATTTATTTTAGATATCACAATTTTTCGTGTTTTCTTCTCTTCATTTCTCCAATTTTTCCATTTTTCAGTGTTTCGGTTTCATAATTTTTTGTTTTTGCGACTTTAATTTTTTCAATTTTTCAATTTCCAGACTTCCAAAATTTTCAGTTTTTCGATTTGCCATTTTCCAATTTTGCAATGTTTTGATAATACAATATTTATTTTTTCAGTTTTTCAGTTTCTTAATTTTTAATTTTTCGTTTCCTCAATGTTCCAAGTTCTTGATTTTATTTTTCATTTTCCCGATTTTTTACTTTTGATGTGCTCATTTTTTTTTATCACAGTTTTTGGTTTTTTCGTTTCCTTTATTTTTTCAATATTCTCTTCGATTTCATAGTTTTTCGTTTATTCAATTTTTCAAATTTTCAATCTTTGATTTTTCAATTTTAAAATTTTTCAATTTTTGGATTTCCCAAATTTTTCGATTTTCCGATTTTTTAATTGTCAATATTTCGATTTTACAATATTTTGTTTTTTCAATTTTGCACTTTTTCGATTTTTAAGTTTCCCAGTTTTAATCCATCGATTTTTCAGTTTTGTCTCTTCGATTTTCAAGTTCTTGATGTCGAATTTTTAGATTAAAAAAAAAAATTATAGTTTTTCGTTTTTTGATTTTTGAATTTTACAATTTCCCAATTTTTCAATTTCTTAATTTTTAATTTTCCCATATTTCAATTTTTCAAGTTCCTGAATTTTATTTTTCATTTTCCCGATTTTTTAATTTTTGATTTTCTAAATTTTTTTGGCTTTTCATTTCCTTTATTTTTTCCATGTTTTTTTCGATTTCATATAATTTTTCGTTTATTCAATTTTTCAAATTTTCAATCTTTGATTTTTCAATTTTTCAATGTTGGACTTTTTGATTTCCCCATTTATTCGATTTTCTGATTTCTTTAATTGTCAATATTTCGATTTTACAATCTTTCGTTTTTTCAGTTTTTCGATTTTTAAGTTTCCCAGTTTTTAATCCTTCGATTTTTCAATTTTGGGTTTCTTCAATTTTTTTGGTTCGAAAATTTGAAAAGTCGAAACATTGAAAAATCGGAAAGAACTGAAAAATAAAAAATCTGAAAAAATGAGAAATTGCAAATCGAGAAAGTGTAAAGTCGAAAAATTTCAGAAGAACGGAAGAAACAAAAAAAATAAACATTGAAAAACTAAAAATCGAAAAACTTAAAAATAAAAGAAAATTTCTGAATCGAAAAATTGAAAAACCTAAAAATTGTAAAATCTAAAAATTATGGAATCGTACAAATTGTAAAATCTAAAAATGATGGAATCGTACAAATTGTAAAGTTAAAACAACTGCTACACTGAAAAATCGAAAAATTGCAACATTAAATATCGAGAAATTCAAAAATTCAAAAACGAAAAATTAAAAAATCGAATAAACGAAAATCTTTAAAATCAAATAATTGAAAAATGGATAAATTCTAAACTAGTAAAATTAAAAAGTGAAAAATTTTAAAAAATTATAATTATTTTGCTATTTAAAATGTAAACTAAAAAAATTGCAAACCAAAAATTGAAGAAACGAAGAACTGAAAAACTGAGAAACCGAAAAATCTAAAATTCCACAAACCAAAAAATTGTACACGAAAAATTGCAAAATTCAAAGTGAAATATCCACAAATTGAAAATTTTCACATTGAATAAGGAAAAATTATAAAATCAAAAAAATAGAAAACCGAAACGAAAAATTGGAAAACAGAAATTGTAAAATAAATTTAAAAATTGTGGAATAGTAAAAACTGTAAAGTCGAAAAACTGTAACACTGAAAAATCGAAAAGTTGAAAAATTAAATATCGAGAAATTCAAAAATTCAAAAACGAAAAATTAAAAAATCGAATAAACGAAAATCTTTAAAATCAAATAATTGAAAAATGGAAAAATTCTAAAATAGTAAAATTAAAAAATGAATAATTTTAAAAAATTATAATTATTTTGCCATTTAAAATGTAAACTAAAAAAATTGCAAACCAAAAATTGAAGAAACAAAGAACTGAAAAACTGAGAAACCGAAAAATCTAAAATTGCAAAAACCAAAAAATTGAACACGAAAAATTTAAAAATTCAAAGTGAAAAATCCACAAACTAAAAATTTTCACGTTGAATAAGGAAAAATTATAAAATCAAAAAATATAGAAAACTGAAACGAAAAATTGGAAAACACAGAAATTGTAAAATAAATTTAAAAATTGTGGAATAGTAAAAATTGTAAAGTCGTAAAACTAAAATTTCAAAAACCGTAAATTAAACACGAAAAAGAAAAATTGCGAATCGAAACACTGAAAAGTCCACAATTTGAAAACTTTCACGTTGAAAAAGGAAAAATTATAAAATAAAAATAGATAAATAAATAACCGAAACGAAAAATTGGAAAACCCCAAAATTTTAAAATTTAAAGATTATGGAATCGTGAAAAATTTTAAAGTCGAAAAACTGTGACTTTAAAAATCGAAAAACTGAAAAATTAAAATATCAATAAATTCAAAAATTGTATATCGTAAATAAAAAAAAATCGAATAAATGAAGAAGCTTTAAAATCAAATAGTGGAAAAATGGAAAAATTCTAATATCGTAAAATTAAAAAGTTATACTTACGTATTTAACATGTAAACTAGAAATATTGCAAATCAAAAATTGAAGAATCGAAGAACTGAAAAATTGAGAAACCGAAAAATCTAAAATTGAATAAACGAAAAATTAAAAGTATGTACTAAAATTTGAAAAACCGAAAAATTAAACACGAAAAATTGCAAATCGAAAAACTGAAAAATCCGAAAATTGAGAACTTTCACGTTGTAAAAGGAAAAATTATCTATTAAAAAAAATCGAAACGAAAAATTTCAAATCGAAAAACTGGAAAATGAAAAATTGAAAAATCGAAAAATTGAAACATCCCTAAGTTGGAAAGTCGAATAACTGAAAATTTTAACAGTGAAAATACCAAGAGGTATATATCCTAAAATCAAAGAAAAAAAATTGAAAAATTTAATGAACGCAAAATCGAAAAAAATTTAATTAAAAAAACAAAAAGTTATAAAATCGGATCATTGTAAAATTCGAAAAATTGTAAAAGTAAAGAATATAAAAAACCGAAACGAAAAATTGCAAATTGAAAAATTGAAAACTCAAGAAATTTTATTTTAAAAAATTGCAAAACCGAAAGATTAAAAAATTCAAAAGTTGCAAAATTGAAAA